AAGCACCTCACAGGTAGGAATAGTGACAATCCTCACGACAACATGACTGATTTTCAGCCTGCTTTTTCCTTCTCATTCCTCTTCTCTCAGAGAAAAGCTTTCTTCTCTCCCACTCTCTCAATCCTTCAGCTGATTTTGTGATGAGTAGGTGAGTTGAAGAGCATTGATGGCGGCAGGGAGAGAGATTGGCAGTTGTGTGTGTGTGCGTGCAGGTGTGTGTGTGTACTTGAAAGTGTCTGTGAAAGACAGTAGAATTGGGACAGAGGAGATAGATATTGAGGGAAAGAACAGGGGTCAGCTCATCAGAGGGTGAGAGATGGGTCATGACATGACTCACACAGGGAGGATAAGAGAGGGACCCTGATTGGATACAGTGTGTGATCGCAGGAAGCTGGTGGGGGAAGCAGCAGAAGAGGGTGGGGGGATGGGAGACTGCTGGATCAACTGTCTGATTACCCCCTATAGAGCAGTCAGAACCAGAATAGAGGTGAACGTGGAGACTCTTCACAAAAATGAGTCAGACTGTGATCATTACTCTGGCTCACAGATTCACTGGTGAAATAATAATCCATTAATTCCCTGGGACATTAGTGTAAGTCTCTCTTACATACCTACAATAGGCCAGACTCTGGCTTAGTCTTGTGAAGTAAAGAAAGGACTCTTGAAGAACTTTCTATTGGTAATCTGGGTGTCAGTTGTGTCTCAGCTGGGAAAATCACCCTCATTCCAGCCTGCCATTCTGCATTTCACAGGTTACATCTAGAGATTGGGAGAAGAAGAGGTGGGGCTTTGTAGCTGGGCTCTCCATATTTTTTTTCATCATATCATAAGGACATAGTCAATGATATTTATACATGCTACACCACCATAGGACTACCCAAATTCTGACATGATCTCCAAAATGTTTATAAGGAGGGAAACCAATGGGTAGGTGGGAACTTTTGTTAAGAGGCTATTTATCAAAAAAAAAAAAAAAAAGTCACCATTAAAGGTGAAGGGTAACTCAGCACTATAGAACACAAATAAATAATACTAATTTAGATTATAAAGTGATTTTCATTAGTTTCATAACTTAGCCTTACAGCTTAAGTACTTTCATAAATGCATGTGACCAAGAATGTTATTAGCAGTAAAAATCTGAATTTACTCCAATTTATTAGAAGAATAAATCATTTTTATGTTTTGATAGCTTTTACATTATTAGAAACATTTCATGCAACATATTCATTAGGATTGTGACTTCAGTGTGGAAAGCTATGTATTTACAAGCACCTGAGAGTACAGAAAGCACTGGAGATCTGATGGACACACATAGGGAAATGGCAACATGCAACCAATACTTGGATAAATAAATATTTGGATAACACAAGTGGATTAATAAAAGAGCTGACTCACATCCTGTGCACTTATCTAACAGTCTTATCTGATGTGACTTGTGGGTGCATTTTTAAATCAAATTTTATTGGCTTACTTTTTCACCTGTTAACAAAACTATATAATTTCAGGTGGGCTTATTTTAATATGTAGTTTTAGTGTTATAGGGCTTCCAAAATTAAGACTGTCTAAAGACAAAAAAGATTTTATATAACCTTTGAAGAGGTGTGGGCACAAAAAAAAAAGTAAAGCTGGAGGGGATGCATAGGAATCAGTGCCAAAGAAGCACTTGGAAGTAAAAGAGAGCAGAGTTTGTTAGGGGCTGCAGAGAAGTTGCTCCATTTCTTCTTGGCCTGGACCGAAACATCCTTTGATGGATGGAAATAATCTTCCTTGGTTTTTGCTGATACAAATGAGTGTTCATTCAAGCATTTGAGAGAATCCTTCCTAGTGGTTCTGACTAGGCTGAATCCATCATGGGAGGATCTGCTTGGTGCACTGCCAGTCCCTTGGGTCCTAATTCTGAGACACCAGGTCCACCTCAGAGATGTATTTTCAAGCTGTTTTTTTTTTTTTTTTGTCTTTGGGCACTTTGCTCACCACTGCCTTCTTTATTCCTGGGAAGGGATTTTCCTTTGGTCATATTTGGAAGAAGAATAAAAGTTTTCTATTGTTGATACTCATTAACGCATTTTCCTATTGGAAAAAAATACAACAGGATAATGGCCAAACAGATTTTTGAATATTTAATAGTGATAATTATGACAATAGTAACCTCTTATGAGTCCTTTACATGAATTAACTCATTTAATCTTCCTAATTACATTTGGAATTTATTGTTATCTACCGTTTACAAATGAAAAAAAGGTGGACAGAAGTAAAGTAATAACTGGAATAAATGTCTCAATGATAGTTAGACAGAGTTCATTAGGAAATCATAGTGAGGATTCAAACCACAGAAACATTCTGACTGATTTTGCTGTGTGAGAACTGTTCCAACAATCAGAAGTTTGAATTTAGTTCATATAGGTAGGAACAGTGAGTCATTAAACAGGTTATTATTCAGGATAGAAGGGTTTTTGCTTTTGAGTTGTTTGACCTAGAGATATGTTGACGCTATGGGAGGTGGAAAGGAGGGTAACCTTGGGTTTTAGTCACTTCCTTTCTGTAAAGAGCACTGTGGACTTGCAGTCTGTGAACCATGGTTTAAATCTTCTTTACCTAACTCCTGGATCAGCAGCAGGGCTGAGAAGACTGGCTTTACCAGTGGGCAGCAAATGCTGCATAACTGTTTCACAGACTTCAAGTCTGTGCCCTGGCGCTTGCACTCTTGTCTGCTAGAGCAGGGAGGTGACATTACCAGAATATTTTACAGTATGCTCACAAAAGTAACTTGTACAAGTTCTGATAAAAAAAGTTCAGACTTTCTGATAGTCTGGAAAGTTTACCTGGGAAGTCTGGTTCCAGACTCGGTGTCCTCACCCACTGTGCTGTGGTCCTCTCCCACTCAACATGGCTGCCTTACCCTTCTGGCTCTTTCCATTGGCTTGTTTTTTGTTTATCCAAATATTCTATTAGGGTTCTGGGACTTTGTTTCTGTGAGAGTTTGGATGTATGCATTTGTTCCAGCACCATTCCTGACTTTTTCTTTTTTTTTTTAAAGATTTATTTACTTATGCATACAGAAATAGGGTACAGGCCAGAGGTGCAGGGGCAGTGAGAGGATTCATCAGAGACAGATTGGAGCAGAATGGGCTGACTGACAAAGTACACTGCTGAGGGGAGCGGAGCAGGTCAGGAGAGATCTGAGCCATCTGGATCACTTCCCGGGAGGGATTCAACTCATGCTGAAGTGGCTTTAGCTTCTTAGTGCTGTGCTTTAATCTGCTGCACCACCAGGGAGGGCCCCATTCCTGACTTTCTTAAGAGAGTCCAGTCCTTTCTGCTGAGAACCCTCAGCAGGGTTTTGGTGAAGCCCTTAGAAGGCAACCTCTTCACACAAACACTATCTTTCAGAACCTCATGCAGACTTTTCCACTCTTCCCCCTACCTTGCCTTTAGTATCTTCCTAGTGAGTTTATTAAACACCACTGGAATTGTAAGCAGAGAGAAGGGGTCGTTTCTCTGAGAACTTATATAGGGTATCTTCTATGGAAAAGAGATACCTTAATAAAAAATTGGGTGGGGGAAGTGGGAAAATTCTCAGCAGAATTTTTTGCAAAGAAAAATGAATTTGTTTGCTGGTGGGAATTTTGTTTTTATGCAATTGGAGCCAGTGCTTTATAACAGGGGCAGAGCGATGGTACCTGTATTTCTTTATCTCCTCTGTTCTCTACAGAAGGTGAGTGACTATTTGAAATATCCTGGCCAGAAGGATGTCAACTTTTTAGCCCAGTCTTGTCAGAATCCAGCCCTGTGCCTCTCCCTGCCCCCTTTGGGGTCTCATTGCTCCCTCCCCACAGACCATCACACTCTGAGCAGCTGCCTGAGCTAGCTGCCTAGAAGCAGGGAGGTGGACTCTACATTGGGCATTTTTTCCTTTGGGTGCTTACATCAGAGGGTCCTGAAATCTATTAGTATTCATCTAAAAGTTATTTGCTACCTCTATACTCCCTACTCTCTCCTGATTTTCTCCATGGTTCCTTTTTTAAAAAATTATTCATCCTTTCCTTAGTCCAGTGAGCTGTCAAATAGTCCAGAAATACTGAAGCAAATCAGTGAGTGATGAAAAGAGCTAAGGCAAGAAGGACTCCGTAACAGCAGGGAAACCTAAATATTTTTGAAGGTGGGAAATGAGGAGGGGAGGAGAGCTATATTAATGGAGCCAGAGGTGAGTGCATTGGTATATGGTTCAATAAATAGTTTTCCTGACAGTCTCTTAAAAATAAAGAGATCTAGATACAACCAAGAGGCACCTGTATAGAATCATTTGGGGGAGGAATAGGAAAAGGTCACCAGGAACAGGTGATATACATGGCCCCTGTCAATTTCATAGTTTGTCCCACCCCCCAGTACCTTAGGAAACATTAAACTTGGGTCTGGAAAGAAATATTTCCCTTATGCCTCTTCTGTTCCCATTTAATGCTCCACTTTCATAAACAGGAAGTGATGTCAGGCAAATCTCAAGTGAAATATTCAAGGAGGTAGCCAGATAAATGTCAATGTGACTAAGTATAATCAAGTTATAATGTATTTTAGCTAATAGGTCTTTAAGAAGGAAATATATTGTTATGAACACAAGTCATTATAAAATCAGGTATTTAAGGTTAAAATTTGATTTGAACGAGTAAATGTGGAAGGAAAGGGGAATTCAGGTAAATACAGGAGTGAGTCTTCCAGAAGAGAAATTTACAAGATAGTTTGTGTAGAAATGGTAGAATGATGTCAGGTATGGTTGGGTCCTTTTGGGAGGCAAAGGGAAACCATGCTAGTTCTTGAAGTTTGATGGTTAGAGAGAGACTCTAGTCAAGTGAGGCACCAAGAACGTTTCCCTTGGAGACTCCCACAATTTAAAAATTCATGTTATTTTTGTGATCTCTGCATATTCTCAGAGGGTCTTTCTGTCATTCTCGTTCAACAGACTCATCAGCGTCTAAGTCTTTAGACAGAGGACCATATCTTGCAGGATGAGTGACTCCAATCTTACCATCTTCCACCCTGCAGTGTTCATCCTACTCGGCATACCTGGCTTGGAGGTTTACCATACCTGGCTGTCAATACCCCTCTGCCTCATGTACCTCATTGCAGTCCTGGGGAACAGTGTCCTGATAGTGGTCATCATCATGGAACGTAGCCTTCATGAGCCCATGTACATCTTCCTCTCCATGCTGGCCATCACGGACATCCTACTGTCCACCACTACTGTACCCAAGGCCCTAGCCATCTTTTGGTTCCATGCCCACGACATTGCTTTTGATGCTTGTGTCACACAAGTTTTCTTTGTCCATGTGATGTTTGTGGGGGAGTCAGCCATCCTACTAGCGATGGCCTTTGACCGTTTTGTGGCCATCTGTGCACCCTTGCATTATGCAACAGTGCTAACATGGCCCATTGTGGGAAAGATTGCTCTGGCCATTGTCATCCGAAGCTTCTGTATCATTTTCCCTGTGATTTTCTTGCTGAAGCGATTGCCCTTCTGCCAAACCAACATCATCCCTCATTCCTACTGTGAACATATTGGAGTGGCTTGCTTAGCCTGTGCTGACATTACCATCAACATCTGGTATGGCTTCTCAGTGCCCATTGTCATGGTCATCTTGGACGTGATTCTCATTGCCGTGTCTTACTCTCTGATCCTCCGAGCTGTGTTCCGTTTGCCCTCCCAGGATGCCCAGCACAAGGCCCTCAGCACTTGTGGCTCACACCTCTGTGTCATCCTCATGTTTTATGTTCCATCCTTCTTTACCTTATTGACTCACCGCTTTGGACGCAACATCCCTCGACATGTCCATATCGTGCTGGCCAATCTTTATGTGGTGGTGCCACCAATGCTCAATCCCATTGTCTATGGTGTGAAGACCAAGCAGATCCGGGAGGGTGTAGTCCACTGGTTTGTTAACATCAAGGCTTTGTGCTGTGCTTCCCCACTGGGCTGAGGGCTCCTCATGAATTCCGACTTGAGCACATAAATTATGTGTAAAATATAAAGAGCTCCTTCTCTTCTTCTTCCTTCTTTTTCATCTTTCTCCTTAAACTTTTCTTTTTCCCCTTCTACCCCTAGACTCTTTACCACCTTCTCTTCCTTCTCCTTCTTCTTTGCTTTCTGTAAACTCTTCTAATCTCACATTTCTCCCCCACAATCCAGTAATAATTAAGTGTCCATGACTCTGATGAAAATTTATTGTCTTAGTAAGACCAGATGTAGTCCAGGGATTTGAACACACATGAAGTATGTTATTAACAAAATGGGTAAAACTAAATCTATGCTCAACATCTAAAAGGGTTATGTATATATTTTATCCTCAAATAGGTATTGATTATTTGTACAGATTCAAGTAGCCCACTTTAACACTGCAGCTGGGTATGCCTTCAACATGTAAAACTATTTACTCTTCAAATTTCAGTGCAAGAACTGCCTCTCCTGAGAAGTCTTTCTGGATTTTCCAGGCAGTCTAGAGCTCCCATGTTTGTATATCTATTGCATCTTGTACAAACTGCAAACGTATGCAGCAAGTTATAGTGCATTATTTATCTGTACCCCCAAATGACTATAAGTTCCTTGAAATGAGAAAAGTATATGTCATTCATATTTGTACTGTGAGTACCTGGCACATAATACATGTTTGAAAAATGAATGAGAGTACAATTGCCTTCCTGAAGTTAGAACATGTATCTCTGATGCACTGAAATGATTAGCTAAATTAGTTCACAAACTCAGTGATTAGTCAACAATTTTGGCTTCATGGAGGCAAATAAGTGGCTGCACTCAGTGTTTTTAACTTCTCACATCTTTGCTATAACTCAGAGAGCACAGAATAAACAGACAAGAGTAGGAAGAAATAGGCTACTCTTAATTTGCTTTTTGATTTGGCTTGCGATCATCCTCAGTATTAGGAAGTAAAGCACATTGTTCTGGCCTGGTTACCAAAATTGGGGTAGTCTTTTCAAGTTCACAGTCCTGACCCTCATTCTTTTATGCTTTTCCAGAAAAGGTCATATACTCATCTTCTTAACTCATCATCTATACTACTGAGTCCCACATTTCTTTCCCAACCTATTTTTTTAGTTTATTTAAATTTTTTTTTAAATTTAGTATGACTTGTTACTGTATATGATTTAGAGGTATAGGTTCATAATGCTTTGATGTATGTTATCATACCACATCCATCACCAAGGTACCCGTAGTCTTCCTTCATAACCCATTGGGTTCCTTTGAGTTCCCTTCACACCCAACTCATCACTACCCCCCCTTTTTGAATGTTAGTCGCATCCACCTAGCAGTTGGGTATCTCCTCTAGAATAAAGGTTTTCTTCCTCTTTTTTTTTTTTTTTAAAGATTTATGCATACAGAACTGGGGTACAAACCAGAGGTGCAGGGGTGGTGAGAGGCTTCACCAGAGGAAGAGTGGGGAGCAGGACTAGAAGATCAAGGACGTACACTGCTGAGGGGAGCAGCGGGTGGGTCAGGAGAGGTCTGCCACGCCATGTGGATCACCTCCCAAGCAGGGGATAAAACTGGTACTGATGCGGCTGCGGCTAACTTGCAGGGCTGTGATCTAATCTGTTGTGCCACCAGGGAGGGCCCAGGTTTCCTTCCTCTTATTCTAGATTTCCTTCTTCTTTCTGCTCCTTTTTTAAAGAACTAGATTATGATGTTTTCATCAACTTTAATGAGCCAGGGAGTTTCTCAACTCTTTCCTCTCTGACCTGATTGTCAAAAGCTACTGGCTTACTCATATTAATTGTACCACAAGATAGTCATCTGGATGATATTTGCAGTTTTGTCAGGATTCCAGTCCAGACACTATCATTTTTTCACTATAAATTTGTGAAATATATGAAACGTTTTCTGTTTTCAACCTTTACATCTATAAAATGAGGCTAGTGATAGTACCTTGTAGGGCTGTTGAGAATATTCATCAAAATAAACAATAAACACCTGAACCCCATCCTAACTCATAGTTTCAAGAAATATTCATGAGTGTTAATGTCATTAATATTGTCAGTTTTCTCTTTAACATTGTTGTTACCAGTTATTTATGTCTCTCGCTACCTTTCACCTCAAATATGGCATTATTTTTTAAAATTGAATTCAATGTTTCCAAACTTTTACACTGTAAACTAAACTTTAAATTGACTTAAGGCAGAGCTAATCATTTTATTTTCTGTCAAATAGTTCAAGAATCTTTTATTACTTACAGAGAAGTTTTCCATAGAATATTTTGTGGAAATAAACAGCAGCTATAGTGTTTTATAAAATAATTGTACGGTCAGTGTTTTATAAAATAATTGTATGGTCACATAAGTGTGAAAAATGGGGATACTTGGTAAGTTATGCACATATGTTGTCCAAGCAAAGATTAGTTTTTATAGTGTTTCCCACAGCATTAAGCACAGATATTTATATCCATGTCCATATAACTTTTTGATAGCATATCTATTTATGCCTCTAAAATAACTTGGTGTTATGTTAGATCACATGACTGTATAATATTTAAGATAAATAGTAATTTAATAATCTGGTGCTGAATTTCTTTTCCATTACTAGCTCAAACTACTTCACCATATAGTATTGTATAGTGTTAATACCTGATATAATAACATTAATAATGACAAGTACAGATATAGCTAATATCTAATAAGAGACCATGGTGTGCTAGAAACCATGCGAAGTGCTCTGCTGTGTTGTTCATTTAATATTCATACAACTTCATGTGGCAGTCCTGTTTGCAATTTCTATTTTATACAAAGGGGCACCCATGTCTCTCAGAAAAGATAATCAAAATCCCAGACCAGGCACAGGTTCTGGTGTCAACACCTCTTACCTCTTTGAAGTTTTCCCTAGTCTCCACAAATCAGAGGTGATCAATTCATTCACCTGATCAGCTTGTTCAGCTATTCTCTGGGTCTCCACGGTAATGACATTTAAGACTTCAACTGGGTATTAATTGCTCTGTGAAGCTACCAGAACTTGACTTCTTGTGGAAAGAGAATGTCTTATTCAGCATTATCATTTCATCATGTAGTATAGGGTTAATATGTATATGCATATTTAAGGATCAAAAACATTAGTGAGGTGGTTGACCTTTGACCTTTGCACATTCCATTGTTAAATATTATCTAGTTTTATGCCTGAAAATCATTCACAACACACACACACACACACACACACACACACACACGATTCCTTCTGAGATACTTTTTCTTCTATATCACCACAGGCTTCAATGTATATTGAGGCCTAGCAGGTATAAGCACAGGTTTAATATTTTACTTATTGATTAGCAGCAACCCAAATCCACTCTGTGGCCGTATGTCAGTTGGAGACATGGAGGCACTGGCAGTTGTAGTTTGTATGGGTTGCTACAGGTAAGACAAAGATTACCTACCTTCTTTGGTTCCTGAGTCAGAAATCTCTGGAGACTGGTCATGCTGGGGTCTGCTTCTGTCTAATTAAACCAGATGCTCCCTAAAGACCTAGCAGACTAGAGCTGTGTCCTAACCCAAGGGGTTCCTGTGATGAGCTACAAATGGGTACTGTCTGACTTCTCTAAAGTCTGTCTGTGAAGCTTCTTCCACGTATTGGGGGAGACATTTCTTTTGAATAATAATTTCATAATTTATTTCATACCTTATTGGCAGTTGTGGAAGTTGTAATATTTTTTCTTACTATTCAATAGTGTAGCAATAAGAATCTTTGTTGATTTATCAATATTTCTCAGCATGTGCCACCAGCACTGGAGATTCATTGTCTTTTCCTTGTTTTCCAATCTGCTAGGAAAGCTATGCTATTTCAACATTTTACTGATTTTCATTTCATTAAAATCTGAGCATCTATTTATACATGTATAAACAGTATATAAATACTAACCTTTTTTCTTATAGTATGAATTACCTATTTTGACTCTTTGTCATATTTTCTAATTTTTCCTTATTCATTTATATCAACTTTTAGTATATAATGGTATTAACTTTACTACATATTTTGTAAATTTTTCTCTCTCACAATTTTTATTTATTCTTAGCTGTGTTTTTGTATTATTGAGAAACACCATACATGAAATTTCACTCAAATTGCATTAAGACTTGGACATAAAACCAGAAACACAAAGCACTTGTATGAAAATACAGTAGACCCATGACAAAAGACCTCCTATAAAGATGGGGAGTACAACCCCAGCAGCAAGGGAAACAACAGCAAAAATAAACATGTGAGACTATTATACCACAAAAAGTATTCATACTGCAAAAGAAGCCATCGTGGAAACAAAAAAGTAACCTACAGAATGGAAACAAGTATTTGCATACCACCCCACTGACAAGGTTTGTCTCCAAACCTGGACAAAGCTCATACACAACCCAAGAGAAAAGAAACAAATGACCCGAATAAATGGGTCATGTATAAATAAATAAATAAATAAATGGGGGAGAGGCCATGTTTATTGCTGCTTTATTTTCAATAGGAAAGGCATGGAATCTACCCAAATGCCCAAAAGTAGATGGTTGGGTTAAAAAGATGTGGTACGTACACACAGTAGAATATTACTCAATGATCAAAAAAGATAAACACATGCTTTTTGCAGCAACATGGATGGAGCTGGAAGGGATCATGCTTAGTGAAATAAGCCAGAAAGAAAAAGAAAAATACTAGATGGTTTCTTTCAGTACAGGAGCATAAAGGAGTGGTGGGGGTGGGGGGTGGGTAGGAATAATAATAACGAACAACTATATACCAGAGACATTTTACAGGGGTGGAGTGGGGAATGGGATAAAAAATGGGGAGGGGGGCGGGTAGTGCATGGGACTATGGTGATGGCACACAGGTGAATTGGTAATGGGAAGTCCACAGGGGTTACAAATGAGATGGAAAAAGGCACAAAATGATGTAAAAATAAACTATTGTAATTAAAAAAAAAACAATGGGGAGACCTCAATA